CATCTGTGTGATAATAAAATGCTGTTGTACCCTTCACTCATACACATGACAGGTTATTTTCATACACTAAATATTGAATATAAGAATTAATAATAGATAATACTTAAATAGAAAAGAAAACATAAAGAATTCATAAGTTAACATAAATAAGAGGGACATACAATGTATATTTTGTGTACACCTGAAATATCCTGTACTCTGAAATAAATGGCAAGAGCACCACAATTCTAAAGTAAAATCACACAACTGAGCAAAATCCCATCTCAAAACAAAAATTTAAAAATAGTTGAGAATATAGCTCATTAATAGGACACCTGGATTTAATCCCCAATATAAAAAAATAAATAAAAAATAAAATCACATCATATACACAAATATTATTTGTGGAATAAATGCATTCTCAAAAAAAGAATATAGAGTTTAATCTGTTAGTATTCATTTTTAAATTTTTATTTTTATTTTTTTGGCTATTAAACATACACGATACAAGGTGCAAACAGGGACAGGGCCTGGGGGTTGTCATGGTGGGCACTGGTTTGGGCACCAGAAGACCCCAGATTCCAACGGGGGCTCTTGCCACTTTGTAGCTGTGTGACTCAGAGCCCATTGTTTAACCTTGCCAAGCCAATTTTTCCTAGGTGGAATAGGGAGGATGGTAATACCCTCTTCTTAGGGAAGTTGTGAGGACCCAAGGGGAGTCATTAAAGTTCTAGGCCACTATGATCACTACTTTCACTGCGGTCCAAGCCTGGGCTGAGGCTCCTGGGTCCAGGGCCAGGGCTGGCACGTGCACACAAACACCTGGCCGGCCAGGTGAGACCAGGTGACCGCCTAGCACCTGGATTTTAATCCTTCAGGGTCAGGGGGGTTGGTAGAGAGGTTTTCAGGGCGGGGATATGGATAGAAAGTTGTGAGAATGGCTAATCCTGACCCCTGGCCCAGTGGGCCATGTAAAAGGGAGCGTGCTGAGCTGGTTCCAGACCCGGTCTGGGGGCGCCACCATGAGGGCAGGGGAGTGAGGAGAGGAGTGAAGTCTCCCGAGATCTGGCTGCCGGCAGTGGCAGCGTCCCTTTTGGGCTGAGGAGGTTGAGAGTGGCAGAGACCTAGGCCTGGGCAAGGGGAGCGGGTAGGCGGTGGCCTGCATCTTTGGAGACAGCCCAGCACGCCCCACAGCTGCAGCAGCGCCGCCGAGTCCCTGCCATTCGGGGACCCAGAGAGGGGCCAGGTGCCGAGGGCCACGGGCCAATGCCCCTGGCCAGTCAGTCCTCCCGCTTGGGTGCAACCCCGGGGCCTGCCTCAGTTTCCCAGGGCGGTGGGGTTGGCGCTTCTAGCCAAGGCAGCACCACTTTGCTGTGTGCCAGGCACTTAACTTGTGCGCTTCCATGCTCAGGCTGCACAGAGAGATGCCATGCCCTGCCCAAAGTCACACTGCTGGGCCTGGTGGGATGGCCTTCCAACACCCACGGAGATCTATGCCCCTTCCTTGCCTAAGGTCCTTCTCCCAGAGGTGCTCGCAGCTGGTTCCCTGGGGTCCTGGTGGGGCTGCGAGGGTGTGTCTGGGACTCACTCTGAAATTGGATGCAGCAGGGTGTGTGAGTTCCTTGGGACAGGCTTTTTCCATGCCTTTTGTCCAATTCCCAGGTCTTCCACCCCTAAACTATCATTTGGCCCTGTGTGAGAGAGCAGAGGTGGGCTAAGAGTGACCTTTGTATGGGGGCTGGTGGTGTCACTAGCCAAAGTCTTGCCTCAGGCAAAGGAAAGTTTGATTCCCCTTGAAGCATGTGATTCCAGTCTGGAACTGTTGGTTGCCAACCACAGAACCAAGACTCCTCTCCTTGGTGTTGAACATTTGTCAAGCCCACTTTGCTACTGAGCAGTGAAGTTCAAAAATAACAGAACCTACCTACACACATAAGTGAAAGTGGGTGTGATACTTTCACTTACATGTAGAAGAGAGATAAAGGGAGGACAATATATGACATGCGTTGCTGTCTCACTTATATATAACCAGAACTTTGAGCTGTGGTGAAAGACAGCATGTGTTCGAGTGCTTGCACCTGCTGCTAATGAAGAAGTTTGAGTTGATTTAAAAAAAAAGTATTAGGATCTAGTTCAAACAAGAAAATCAAACAGGGAGATGAAGATGGAAACTAGGGAGAAAACACTTAGTGTTGGGATAACCTTATTTATGCTAATAAAAAGGAGAGACTAGATTGAACTAGGGATAACATGCCAAGGTCAATTACAGGCTGCCTCAGTCTACCACAGGTCATACTATGACCCTTTCATGGATCCCCTTTTTTTTTTCCACCATGTCGGAGCACATTCTTTGTGTCTTGTGCTTTGAGGTACTGCTACTTGAAGGAACAGTAATGAATTCCTTCAGTTGCTAGTAATAACAAGTAAAATATTAACAAGATTAAATTTTTGGATTCATTAGGGTGAGATTTATGTGCCATCTCATACTGTTTGCATATATATTAGTCTATGTATACTCACTATAATTTTAAATTTATGTTGAGTTAATGTGTAGTGTGAAGAAATGAGCACTAATTTTCAGACAATTTCCTTATTCTCCTGAAGAATTCCTTACTACTTTGTCTTACATAATTAGAGGCAAGGGGTGGGATTTTAAATATTGTGTCTTAAAGTAATGCTCATTTAAAGTGGGCTTGATTAAACCATTTTAAGATCAAAATTCTTGTGACCAGGATGAATCTTGATGATACAGATCCATCCCACCCAAGCATTGTGTGAAGCCTAGATCCTGGCCCCCAAACACTAAATGCCCCCAAACACTAAATTGGTGTCCCTCAATTTCTTTGATAACTAAAAATTTTTCTTAAGGATAGTTCTGCCTCTTTGAGAATACTATTAAGAACATATCCATTATCTACTTAATTTTAACAAGAAAGGGGTGCCAAACAACTTCTTTCTGGGAAAATTATTTTTTTCTGAAGTGTCTGACATATAAAAAAGGACATGATCTTGGTTAGTGACACTTTTGTCAATTATTCTAGAATCTTGGGAGGCAAGGTTGATTTCTGTCAGAAAATTTTGTCTGTGTTTAATGGCAATTCATATTAGAAATGTTGACAACTAAACACTAGAATTATTTTAGCAGTTTGATGTGAGAACAGAGTTGTGAAGTGACGGCAGTGTGTACGATAGCACATGTGAGTTGAGTAGAATATACATTCATGGCATCACTTTGGGGGGTGGGTTACTTACTAGGGATTGAACCCAGAGGGGCTCTACCACTGAGTTCCAGCTCTTTCTCCCCTTCTTGAACCGGGATCTTGTGAAGCTGTTGAAGCAGTCTCAAACTTGGGATCCTCCTGTTTCAGCCTCCCTAATTATTGGGATTACAAGCAAGCAGCAACATGCCCAGTTGTAAGCACTTTTAAAATAACCCTTTCTACTTACTGATGTTCATATTAGCAAATTTTGAAAATGTAGATAGATGTACATATACCAGTCCTCATGGTATGGCTCATTACAAATTATCTTTTCACTTGAAACACTGCTAGTCATGATAGAGAAGAATTAAAATAAAGTTTAGCTCAAGCTAGCTACAGTGTAACAAAAATTCCTTCAACTTGTTTAACTCTAAAAAGGATGTTTATTTTGATTTTTAAAAAATCTTGTAAGGTGTTTGTTACTTATTACTATTGAAAGGTGCTATGGAAACAAACATGTAAATAAAGACTTCTCGGAAAAGAATATATTTTCAATTGTTTAGAGATATATTGAATCTCTTTGACCTGAGAAGTCAGCCAAATTGAAAATAATTAATTTTTATTATTTTGAGCAAGTAAAATGTTCCAGTTTCTAAGCATGGAGGATATGTTGTCAAATAGAAAAAACTTGTATGCCTTTATGGAGTTTTACATTTGAGATACATAAGAGTTAACTAGAAGGAAAACAATTTACCATACAATTCTGTGGTTTATAATTAAGGCATTTCATTGATTTTTAAGATGCACATCTGAGATGGATGGAATCTTAAAATTGGCATGTTGAAACCATATGGCATTTTTTCTTCTGAGTGGTACATAGGATAAGAATGTTCTAACTGTCTTAAAGGTGATGGCATGTCAGAGGCAATAAAATAGGAAATATATAAAAAATGTCAGCACATTGGTTAATTTTTAGCACCCAAAGCTAGTCAAAGGTGACTTGCAAAAAGAAGTTCCAGATTTCTATATCCTTTATTTTTGCGGGAGGGTGAGTACCAGGGATTGAAATCAGGGGCACTCACCCACAGACCTACATACCTAGCCCTATTTTATATTTTATTTAGAGACAGGGTCTCACTGAGTTGCTTAGCGCCTCACCATCACTGAGGCTGGCTCGTGTCTCAGCCTCCAGAGCTTCTGAGATTAATGGCCATGTGACACCACATTTGACTACTAAATCCTTCTGTCTAAACTAGTTCTTTTTTTTTTTTTTTTTTTTTTGCAAAAGTCAACAATCTTTTATTGTGGCTGCCTGGAGGCCCACAGCTGGGAGGGGAGCGCCATGCTGCCCCGGGGCCTGGAGCAATTGTTGCGAGCCCAGAGCAGCAAGAGGGAGGGGGCCAGGCCACTGGAAGCTAGTCAACCAGCCCACCCCATTGGCACCCCGTGGGAGGCGGTGACCATGGCGACAGCCATTGCCAAGCAGGATTGAAATTCAGGGCGTCACCCAGGCTGTTTCAAAAATCTTCCCACACAGCGTGGGGAGGGGAGGCCGCAGCAGCCTGGGGGAGGGGAGGGGAGCCCGCGGCCCAGCCCGCCTTGACGTAGGAGGCTCTGCGCAAGTGCACACTTGCGCGCTTGGGCCCCTTGGGGGCGCTGGGCTTGGCCACCTTCTTCACTGTCTCGCTCCCCGCCAACGCTGCTGCTGCCTTTGTCCTTGGCAGCACTGCCTTCGGGTCACGCTTGTCGGCTGCGGAGCCTTTGGCAGGCCCAGGGGGCGGCGCCTCTGGCTTCTTGGGCTTGTCTGCGGCTTGTGGGGGGGGGGGGGGGGGGGAGGGGCGCACCCTCACAGGCCTCCAGCTTCTTGAGGTTGAACTTGAAGGAGTCTTTTGCACCCTTGCCATTGACCTGCAGCAGCCATCGTCCTGCACCAGCACTTGCATGGAGTACTTGAGGTAGGTGCGCCCTTTGTGGTGGTCGAACCACTGCCACCTTCCTGGCCTCCACTTAGATGGCGCCACGCTTGCCCAGACTGCAGATGGGATAGTCTGTACCACCAGCTGAGTGTGTACTTGCGCAGCTGGTTCTTCCTGCCGCTGCCCCCGCTGCTGCCGCCACCCGCCACGCACTGTTTTCTTGGCCTTCTGGGCGCCCATGGGCGGCAGGGCCTCCTCCAGCTCCACCTACGTGGTTCCAGTGGGTTGGTGGCCGTGGTGCTCAGAAGCCGGGGAAGAGGAAGGTGAGGGGGGGAGAGGAAGGTGAGGGGGGGAAGAGGAAGGTGAGGGGCCGCTGCGGGCTCAGGGCGCAGGGTGGCTCCACGCGGGAGCGACCACCACCGGGCCTGGGGTTGGGTGGCAGGGCTGGGGCTGAGCGGGCCTAGCGCCTGATGGGGGGGGGGGCGGGTCTGGGCGGCTCGGGGGGGCGGGGGGGGGGGGGGGGGGGCCGGGGCCGCGGGGGGGCGCGGGGAGGGCTGGGGGAGCTCCGGTGACGCAGGCGCTGCTCCGAGGCCTTGGCAACCTGGGGTGTGCGCGCAGAGCTCAGCTAAACCAGAATTCTTTATTCAGAAGTTTCCTATAGAGATCTTTCTCTTCATGTAAAACAAATGGAAGACTGGTGTTCATAAACATGACTACAATTTTTTTGAAAAGGGTTTGAGGGGAACAAACTTCTTGGTGCTTTTCCATGGAGAGCACATGGTGGGCAGTTAATGCATTTGAGGTTAAGTTGTTCAGACAACACATGCAGAATTTATGGACTATAGATTACTTTTGTTTTTTTCCCCCATTTCTGAAAGTTTGTAGGTCCCCTTATACTTTTTTTTTTTTTTTCAAGTAAGACGTCCTTAAGTCGAATTTCGATGATTCATAGTTGTTATAGTTTTTATAAGAATGTATTTGAAAACATTTATTCTCTGTGTGCACAGTTTACGTGGGAATCTAGCTCCATGATCTCTCCTGGCTAGGAAGCCTGTATAAGCACTTTTTCCTTCTGATACTGAGGACTGGTTTCATAGGAAACTCAACCATATGAAGGTTACATACCTTTTTTCCCCAGGAGGACTTCAGCTTTGCTTATCCAAGTGTGAGTGTGGTCCTACAGCAGCATATCTGAAGCATCCTGGATCTTGTTTGAAATGCAGACTGGTGGTGTACATGAACCTGTGGGAAGCACCAGACAAGATATGTGACTCTCAGACTTGAGGATACTACCAGGATTGCTGGACTAGTACAAAGTTTCTGATTCAGTAGTCTGGGTGGGAGCCTGAGAATTTTAATTTTAACAAGTTATCACATGATGCTGATGCTGCTGGTATAGGGACCATACTTGGAGAACCATTATACTAGAGTGTCCTCATTGTACATTTTTCTCCTCTTTCCTAATTTCTTACTCCTTCAAATAGCTTTTTAAAAACAAATTATCATATCCTTTAACTTGATTGAAGGGGGAAAAAGCATATATATATATATATATATATATATATATATATATATATATAATTTTTTTTTGCGATGACCACACAAAGATTGCTTTTCAGCATCTAATTTCAGAGCAAAAAATCTCTTTAAAGCTTGGTTTTAAGTCTTATCTATAGGTGTCTCTTTCTCTTCTTTCTGTAAGTATTTTTTTTTTTTAATGTTTAAAAATTCTTTTAATGTAGATAACATGTTCTTATGGTTCAAAAGTTAAAATGACACAGGCATGCTTGGGAAAATCTGATTTCTAACTGCTTTGCCCCCCGAACCTTTACCCTTCTTTATTAGATAACCTCCTTTAATTTATTTCCCATAGATGTCAATTGTTTCCTTTTAGAGTAGGAGAAATGCCAGTGTACTATATTCTTTTTATATAAAATTAGAATACAATGTAAGTAATTCTGTCCCATGGCTTTTTCTTTATATGCTCTTGAGATATTTTCCTATTAGTATTTATTTAGAAAGAATATAATATTTGTTTATAGAAAACACTTTTTAAATAAAAACAGCTATATTTAAACAGTGTCTATTAATGCCTTGTTTACTTAACCATCCCCCCTGGTGGGTATTTGGGTTGTCTCTAGGTTTATCACAGACCATACTGTCATGAAACATCTTGTATACATATCATTTTATACATGTGCAGGTACATCTCCTAGAAGTGGAATCGCTGCACCTGTGGGCAGTGCATTTATAATTTTGTTAAATACTTCCTTTCTTAAGTGTTGCACCATTTTTAACTCCCACAAGTACAGTTTCTCTTCATTATTCATGAAGGATTGGTTTGAGGACCCCTTTGTGGATACTGAAATTCAAGGATGCTTGAGTCTCTTATATAAAAAGGCATAGTGTTTGCATATAACCTATGAACATCCTGCACATACTTTTAAATCAGATTGCTTAGAAAATCTAATACAATGTTTTCGGCAGACACAACATCTTTGTTTGTATGTGGTGCTGAGGATCGAACCCAGGCCGCACGCATGCCAGGCGAGCATGCTACTGCTTGAGCCACATCCCCGATCCCTTGTTAGCAGCATTTGTTAAAAGTTTTATACTACATTTAAATAGATATTAAGACTTTATTACAGGGCTGGATTATGGCTCAGTGGTAGGGTGTCTGCCTGGCATGTGTGAAGCACTGGGTTCTATCCTCAGAACCACAACAAACAAAGAAACAAATAAATAATTACAGCTATTATGGCCATCTACAACTACCAAAAAAATGAAAAAAAGACTTTATTACATATTAAATGAGTTGGATTTTGTGCATTTGAAACAGTGTTTTCCTGTGTTAGGCATAAAGTTTAGTTTAGACTGGGAGAGTACATGATCATTTGATTGGAACGTTGGGTAGACAGAGAAGTTCGGTATTCCTGAGCAGAATTTAAGGCTGTGGACTCTGAGATGAAACAGCTTTGCAATCAGGGTGGTAGTACTGAGCTGCAGTAGGAGGAAAGATGCTAAGTGCTCCTGTACAGTGTAGATGAAAACCCTCAGGGCTTCCTTTTATAGACTCTGCAACTGACCAGGTCTCCCCCAGGGACACTGTTAACTCAAAGTCTTATGGGTGAAGTTTTAGAAAGTGGAGGGAAGAACAGTAGCTCTGGGGCACAAGGTCCATAATGAGCTCAGAGGCTAGTGAAACTCCTTAGGGATATCCCAAAGTTCTGCATGTCCCATTCCCCTGAGAAATTTCCTCCCTTGTAACCCTGAAAGTTTTGTCCAGTGTGTGGCATGATGCAAATTTGTGTGGAGCTAGGCAGAGCAAGTCTATTACTACAGAATCTAGATGCTGTCTTTAAATAGACATCAGCATGGGAATATGGCTGAAAACCACTATCCCCCTCCGTACACCTTATGTGTAGCAGTGCAACTGGAATTTAACACAGTCTTTTCCTTCTTTGGTTTGTTTAGAGAGGACACCTACTTGAAGATTGTGTATGTGTATGTTAAACCCCATGTGTTTTGTTTTAGATATATTTCAGTCTGTTCTAATATAACAAAGTTTTTCAGTCTGAACATTCTAGCAGCCATCACTCAAACACTAATTGCTGTCAATGGGAAAAGATATCTTCCCACATCTTTTTTTGGTCCTTGAAACCATCCCACTTTTTTTTTTTTCTTTTACCTTAAGGACCAATTACTGACACTTGGGAATTATAATCAGATTGCGTCAATTTTTATGAAAAGGTTACCAATTATTGCACTGCAAAATGTGCATTTCTTTCTAATAGAGAGTGTTTTTCTCCATGTCTCTCTTTCTCTCAGTTCAGTGCTTTTATATACCTCTTAGGTGAATGAATGCTTTGTGTCATGCCCTGAGTTAATACATTTAAAGAGACTTTATTGATAGTTTTTTAAAAAACCTATATGGGAGGGGAATGAAGGAGGAATATTCTTCAATCAATGTGAAATCTTAATAGATCTTTAGATGTTCACAAGGTAGAAGGATCGCCATTGTTAATTACACCTTTTCTGGTATAAGTTCTGAAATCAGTATTTGATGTAAAGAGTTGTGAACAGTGAGGATTTTTGTGGTGGCATGTGGATTGAGCATTGCACTGTGGTCTTTGTGTGTATTACTTTATTTTGTTCTCACAATAACAAGGGCTCAGTAAAATTGTGAAATTTGTCCTTGAGCATGTAGCTAGCAGGTTTAAAAAAACAAAACAAACAAAAAAACTTGAGGCTGGGGATGTGGCTCAAGCTTGCTTGGCATGCATGGGGTGCTGAGTTCCATCCTCAGCACCACATAAAAATAAAACAATAAAGATGTTGTGTCCACCGAAAACTAAAAATTGAATATTTAAAAGCTCTCTCTCTCTCTCTGAAAAAAAAAATCACTTTAATTCAGATCTTTCTATCTCTAAGTTCCAGTGCTTTCTTATGCATACAGAGAAGGGTGTTGGTAGAATCTTAGAAAGTTGTATGTTACTTCAGAGGCTGTGACAGGAAGATTGATAGTATAATGCCAGCCTCAGCAACTTAGTGAGACCCTGTATTAAAATAAAAAGGTCTGGGGATGTAGTCCAGTGGTAGTGCACTCCTGTGTGGTTCAATCTCCAGTTCCACAAAAGAAAAAAAAAAAGAAAGTTGTTAGAATGTTTCCATTGTTGTATTCTAGATAATGAAAATGTTGAAAAGACTGACAGTAATGCTATTCTGTCACCACCACTGCCGTCATTCATACTATCCTCCTTATTTCTAATGTTCTTCGGCATCATCTAATGAAGTCTAGGAGCATGCGAGGGTTTCCTGCTCATTGTGTTCAATACAACATAGGCTTGTTTAATTTAGCAGCACTCTGAAATGAAATGTTCATGCTGCCAAGTACAAACAGTTCTGTGGGATGTTAATTTTGTTAGAGGAGAGAATGCTTGTTGTTCCTTGCTATGTGCTAATAAAGATGCTGGAAGATTTTCTTATGAGTATAATGTATTTTGACTTGTTTAAATCCATGTAATCAAAAAGAAGTGGGC